TTATCTTATCTGTCCCAATTCTAATATTGCCCATAGTTCCACCACTATGGGAGTTGTTCCTCTTACTCTCAGTGTATATCGTGTCTCGTGTTGCGTGTTCCCTGTCTGGTTGCGGGTGTTGTAACAAGTGAAATTGAGTGCACTAAAAGACGGACACTGTATACATATCACGGACATTAACTGAGAAGTCAGCCAGTGAAGACTTATTGTGTGATTTCAAGATTTTGTGTGTGCTGTTGTACAGTTATATTGGGANTGACTGACTGACCATCAGTCGCAATGTGACTTGGACTTGGACTAAGGAGTCAGTTGGAATATAGCAGCAGTCGCGGAAAGAAGAACCGGACGTGTGGTTAGAAGATTTTATAGTGCGTGATAACTGAGAAGGTTTTATTTTAGCGTCCTGTTGCACTGATTTTCGTCCATGATATGTATGCAGTGTCTGTCTTTTAGTGCACTCAATTTCACTTGTTATTTCACAACATGTTTCGGCACTATAGTGCCATCATCAGGTGCTCCATTTACGTTAATCTATTTCATTGCTTGCCATTATGTCATTGTAAAATTTAAAAAGTATTTAAAAATGTTCATCAATTATAATAAATATTTATATATTAAAAACTTGTTAAGATTATTTATCTTATCTGTCCCAATTCTAATATTGCCCATAGTTCCACCACTATGGGAGTTGTTCCTCTTACTCTCAGTGTATATCGTGTCTCGTGTTGCGTGTTCCCTGTCTGGTTGCGGGTGTTGTAACAAGTGAAATTGAGTGCACTAAAAGACGGACACTGTATACATATCACGGACATTAACTGAGAAGTCAGCCAGTGAAGACTTATTGTGTGATTTCAAGATTTTGTGTGTGCTGTTGTACAGTTATATTGGGAGTGTGTAACTCAGTGACACTTGTATAGCTCCCGCGTTATTAATACGTGAAGACTACTGAGGACAGAGTGAATTGATTATTGTGTAGGGTTTAAAAATTGGGTAAATCCACAACTGTGTCATAATTAATTGTAGCTACACCTTGTAGGTTGTTAAATAAACCAATTAACAATCTGAACTGCGTCTTCAGTAGCAAAACACGTTACAATATATTCACAAGGCAAAGTTAAGATCTGCAGTCTCTTACATAGATCTCTACAGGAATTATGGGATTTGACACCCATCATGATTCTAACAATTTTCTTTTGCAATGTAAATACCTTTTTACTGTCAGATGAATTACCCCAGAAAATTATTCCAAACTTTATCAAAGAGTGAAAATAAGCAAAATAGACTGATTTGAGTGTGTCAATATTACTAATAGGTAACATGAATCTAACTGCATAACATGCTCTACTTAACTTTTGGATCGATATGGTTTATCCAGTATAAATGATTATCAATTTGCAAGCCAAGGAATTTTGTGTTTGCTCCCTCTTCTATATATTTATCATTATATCCTATGTTTAATGGATATCGCGGCGAGTTTTTGTTATAAATTTTATTACATTTGTTTTTTCTAGGTTCAGGGACAGCTTGTTTGCAGAAAAACATTTACTCATTTGCAAAAGAACCTTGCTTGATAACATGCAGAAATCATCTAAATTGTTACCAGAAATTATAACACTAGTGTCATCTGCAAATATTGTAGGTATTGATGAGGTCCTTAGTGTAGGAGGGAGGTCCTTTATATAAATTATGAAAAGCAATGTGAATTACCTTTCTGCCTTAAGTTACCAGAATGACAAAATGCATATATATTCAGATCCATAAAACATAACAACCATATTTTCTAACACTTACAACAGAATTCTCCTATAATATTTTATTTTTAATACATTTATCTTGAAGATGACTGCAAAACCTTTACAAGCATCTTTGCCTCCTTCACTTCACCAGACAAAGCCTTTGTTTAAAAATAATGTGACATTGTTAACAAATTTAGTCTAGTTCAGATGAAAATATAACTGGAAAAGACTAGCCACTGTACTGTGGTACTATTTTATGTAGCTTATTCTGTATGAGTGATACATACACGATATTTTCATCTTATTCAAACACGTAAGATTTACCATAAATATTTAATTTGTAATTTAATAATCATTTAATAGTGGGAATTTTAAAACCAATTTTAGCCAAATCGTTTTATATATGTAAAAAAGGATTTTAACCATGAGATGAAAGCTCTGAAATTAAACAATTTTTGGGCTACCATATCAAACACTGTTGAGAATTAATAAACTGCATGTAAGTTATGTAGCAAGTCATTAATAAATGAGCAGTCTTCAGTTTCTGTGTATCATGTCTATTCCATAAGCACTGATACTATTTTAATGTGGGTATGTGAAGAGTGCAGATTGGAAGAGGAGTTCGACAAGGATGCTGTTTATCACCAATTCTGTTCAACTTGTACAGCGAATGCCTTACCAAGGAAGCTCTGGATGGGCTCGGTGACTTCAAAGTAGGAGGGCAAATTATTCAATCTGTGAAATATGCAGATGACCTTGTGTTAATGGCTAAGGAAGAAACTGTGCTACAGGGCATGATTGATAGACTAATTGAAATTGGAAGGTGCTATGGCATGGAAATGAATGTGGAGAAAACAAAAGTAATGAAAATTTCGAGACAACCAACCCCAGTCACAATAAAGATAGACCAAAAACAAGTGGAGAATGTGAAATGTTTTAAATATTTGGGTAGCTTGTTAACAGATGATGGAAGGTGTACTTGTGAAATTAAATCCAGGATTGCCATGGCAAAAGCTGCATTTAGCAAGAAGAAGAATCTTTTTACCAGCAAATTGGACTTAAATTTGAGGAAGAAACTAGTGAAATGCTACATTTGGAGCATAGCTCTGTATGGGGCTGAAACATGGACACTTAGGGCAGTAGATCAGAAACATCTGGAAAGTTTCGAAATGTGGTGTTGGAGAAGAATGGAGAAGATCAGTTGGACCGATTATGTGAGAAATGAAGAAGTGTTAATTAGAGTCAGTGAGCAGAGGAATATCCTACATGAAATAAGAAAACGGAAGGCTAATTGGATTGGTCATGTTTTACGCAGAAACTGCCTTCTAAAAGAAGCTATCGAAGGAAAGATAGATGGGCGGATAGAAGTGACAAGAAGACGAGGAAGAAGACGTAAGAAGATGCTGGATGACCTTGGGGACAGAAGAGGATACTGTCATTTGAAGGAGAAAGCTCTAGATCGCATTAAGTGGAGGAATTGTTTTGAAAGAGACTGTGGACCTGTCGTCTTGACAGATTACTGATGATGATGATGATGTGAAGAGTAGCATGCCATAAAAGGAGATTGTTTATGACTAACTATTTGTGTTTTATTCATGGAAGATGAATCAAATATTGGCCTCAATGCATCATAATTCAGTAATACATAGAAATGAAAATGAGTACAGAAGAAAGCAGCTGAATTTAATAGTTCAAGAGCTTATAATAAATATAACAAATGATGAAGTTCCCTGCTCAGTTAGCTACATATATTAGTTTAATATAAAACTGCAAGAAATTGGTGCAGGACATAAAATGCTTACACAAATAAATAGTATTTGTCAATAAGCCATTTTGATTTTGGTGCATAATTAAGAGAAAAATACAAATACTTATTTAGGCATTTGAATATAGTTCTAACCATCCAGTTCATTCTGACATAATTTGTGGGTTTCTGAAGTAATATTGCATCATTATCCACAGAATGGGTTTGGAAATTGCAAGTCATAACAGTGAAATGGGAAGGCAGACAAACTAACAATTGCTATTAAAAATTAACTCAGTAACAATGTCCCTTAAAATTAAAATAAAACAATATGAACAAGTAACAATATAATTTTTGTGAACTCTGATGCAGGAACAAATATAACAAGAGTCATAACACACCAAATTAAAATATCTTATACTGAACTATAAGAATGCCTGTTGATAAATCAATATGAAATGTTTCAAATAGCAGAATGTGTTGGAGGAACCACACCACAGTAAAGGTGAGTATTATGAAAATAATTCTCAATAGGTCTTGAACATTGGATGTAGCTAATGTACATGAATTTCTTTCCTTTTTGTGTTCTGTTGTTTGGGTTAGATGAATTGATCCCTCTATCTCTGGTGGCCTACCTCTCCCTTCTTCCTTTAGAATGAGAGCCAAACAGCTTCTAAGGAATGTGATTGGGTGGCATTCTTAAGATGCATTGTAAGTAATTCTGTTGATATTCTATTACTTGTTTCCCTACGTTAAATTTATTTAGTTCTTCCACAATGCCTACATTTATTTTTTTGGCCTATTTTTGTAAAGTCTCAGGAATCTAGTTTCAAAGAATTTGATATGTTTTGGATTGATGGCTTATTAATCTATAAAACATATCTCACATTCATATACAAAACAATGAACCTCAGCATAACATTATACAGAGTGTATCACGACTTTAGAGCATAACTGCAGGAAGTGATTTCCTAGGTCTTTGTGATCAAAAAAGTTCATATAAACATGTGTCCGATTCTGGACGGTTACGGAGTTATGACCGTTTTTTCATTCCTGTACACACCCTCAAGTGAACCGCATCTGTCAGCTGGCGGGTCGCTATTTTTAGCCAGTTACAGACAGAGCGTTCTCGTTATCTCGACAATTGAGAAGTAGCTAAGGCAGGGCGGGTTGGTATGTTCAGCGCGGTTCACAACCGAGCAGTACACTTGAGAAGTACCTAAGGCAGGGTGGGTTGGTATGTTCAGCGCGGTTCACAACCAAGCAGTAGCCTGTGTTGCGGCCAGTGGTGGCATTTTCGAAAATCAGCTTTAAGCACCAATAAATTCAAATTAAAGGTAATTTCACGAAGTTAACTTTACATTCATACTTTAAATGTATCATGTATTATGCTGGTTTATTATTTTGTTCCACTTATTGTCAGTAATCGTTACCTTCTATTCTGAGTTTAAAATGGTCATAACTCCGTAACTGTCCAAAATCGGACACATGTTTATATGAACTTTTTTGATCACAAAGACCTAGGAAATCACCTCCTGCAGTTATGCCCTAAAGTCGTGAAACATCCTGTATAATGTCACATTTTTCTACGCATGCTATCTTGAAGGAACATTTTTTATTACCAGCATGTGATCAGGTTTAGGTTTATAAACCATTTCCAATTCATTGGGGTTAAAAATATAATCTGCATCAGGATGTACCTGCATTAGCAGGGAAGACTGCATGAATGCTTAGGTAAACGTCAGCCACCATCCAAGAGAGATATTAAAAAATGTTAATAATATACACAACTTACTACTTTTCCTATGTTGGTTAAGTCTTATTGTTATCAAAAATACTCATCATTTTATGACAGTGAATGTTTATTTCACAGTGAATTACTGCAATATTACAAGAACTGTGGTTCGCAAAATCATGAATATTAAGATTGTGGACTTCTGGAATGTGATATAATGCAGTGTAGTAGTAGTACAAATTTTTTGGAGAAATGTGCTGCCTTCACCTTCACAGTACCCTGAAGAATGGAACTATATATGAGTATTTCTCAGGAACTCATTCAAATCATCCATTCCAGTGCTCATAAATTATGAAAGTAATTTAATAAATGGAAGTTGAGATATTTTGTTGCAGTGACGTGATTTTGCCGTATAGCAGTTATTTTCACCCTATAATCTGAAATTTAATTAACTGTCAATAATATAGACACATTCTTATATCTGCACTAGTTACTGAAAAGTGAGTATGTTGCGGTGTTAATTCTGTTTCTGTAATTTAAAGCTTGTACAACGTCAAAAGTGAAAACATTACAAAGTAGCTATACTTTCTTTGTGTGACAACAGATAGCAAAATTTTGTCAATACTGTAATTGATAGATATGTACATATCATTTTACACTTTCATTGCCCTCCTATCAATGACCTGAACTGGTTAGTAATGGGGTAATTTGAAATGATTAACATGAATTTCCCAATGTAATTTTTTCAATTTACAGTGCATCAACCATGAGAAAGATTCATCTATTAATTACGAATTACCACTCATTAATCTGTTTTCATTTACTGCCTTCTATATTATTTTAGTATTGTAATAACTGTCATAGGTGCATGGTTCAAAAATACAGATGTCTGCTTCAAGTATCTAAAATAGAAGTTTCTAGTCCTGAACATATGCAGTCCACTTCTAACTTATGAATCTTTTAAAACTATGCCCCATTCCTGTAAACTGACAAGCCAAAATGACAGTGCAATTGTTATACTTACACACTGCAACCCCCACTTGAGGACTGTTGTGTGTATGTTCCTCCAGGTCAGAGATACCTACATTAATACTCTTGAGTGTATATAATTTTCTTAGACACTATTCATCTTCATCATTTATAAATAAAAAAATAGTTGATGGCACAAGAATCACATGCCTTGAATATCTCTCAAGTCCTTATTCATTAATTTATTCCATCAGTCATAGTGTTTATTTTATTTGTCTTCCCCCCAGTAAATCTTGTTTATATGTTGCTTTCTTTCTGAACTTAACATTATCATTGTTTCTCTACTTTACTTCTGTCTTTCCAAATCAAAACAAATTTCTTATTTAATTTAAATGCAATTTTCCCAAATTTTCACTACCTTATGTCTTACCAGTATTAATTCCATCTGAGTTCAAAGCTCATTATAATAATAAAAACGTTTTCTACATGATGTCAGGAAGGTGACTTCAACACTCTACGTTTCTGGCTCCACTGACTGCTTTTGATTATTGCCCAGTTTTATTACAAGTTAAACCCCCCCCAAAAAAAAGGATGAATGTCAAACACAAGTTGCAAATAAACCAGTTTCAAAATTTTATTTTAGACACACTGAAAACTTTAATTTCAATAAAATTATAACAAACAACATTGATACACCAACAGAACTAAATGTACACTTAATAAGCTGAAATTTTTGATAATCTACATTTTATGAAATGTAATTAATTACTAGGCGCTTTCATCCGGGCTAAGCCTCTCAGGAGGAAGTCTTATGTTACTCCCATGTGGTCAGGCAGTGGATATTTGAACTATTAACAGAATCACCAAGCTTACAGAATATCACATTACATTTAAGACACCCAGGTTATTGTGGATGATGGAAATGATGTCTACTTTTAGGCAAGCATTCCTGCTACTTCCTTAAAAGTTTACAATTAAGCATTAAATTTTTGTTTAGGAAATACAGCATAGTAAAAGCTATCCCTCTAACAGGTTTTGGAGGCCCACAATGTTCTGAGAACTTGAGGCTCCCATATTTACTAGATGGTCAGTTCACAGACAGCAGTGAGTCAAAACTTTAAGCCTGGTATTCTGTTCAAGGCATCTAGGGATTTTTTATAACAATGTTCAAGCCTACCACTGATTTCTTCCCATTTTTCTTCAGTCAGCCATCAGTGATCTGATCCCCTCCTCTGCAACTTATCCTTCCAGTAATGATGAAACTGGTGCTAGGCTTGAACATATTCCTAATAATGACAGTGAGCATTTCCAGCACCTTCTGTAATCTAGGTAAGATTTATTTGAAGTCTCTTAAGCTACTACAGGCTGGTTGATTCGGCAAGCAATTTGAATCTTCATAGCAGACCGGACAAAAAGCCCATCAGGCAATTCTGCCTGAACAGATAAACAATTTCACACAGCTCTAAAATGATCATAATATATTTAGAAAGAATGTCAGATGAGGAATGAAAATTGTTTGAAAATTTGGAAATTTCCTTACAACAATGTTTGTTTTGTATATAAATGTGAAAAATGGCCTATTGTGACATGAGTTACTGACTGAGAACATGACATAGTACTTTTATGCATAAAACATGCATACGCTCTCAAATCTGCAAATTATATTCAATTTTTACTGTCCATAAGACTACAATGAAATAACGAAATTGGCAAATGAAACCTCCTTTCAATTTCAGGATTAAAATTATATCCACAAAAACTGGTACTAAATAAGATTTTTTACTGTGCTCCAACTTGAGGCTTTACAAAGATAGTGATATCATATGGCCCATACTTTCATTAGAATTATTTTAAAAAATAAGTGAATTTCGCTATCTTTTATACAAGATATTATCTGAATTAAAAATAGCAACACATAAAGACATATTACACATTTTACATAAGGAAAAACTACGTTTCACATCAGACTTGCGAAGAACCTATTCCAAAAGTAATTCTATAATCACAAAAGCCTCTTTAACCTTCAAACGAACTTAAAACAACCTTTCAACAACTTCAAACTGAATGAGATCTTTAATGTGACCTTTGTATTATTCACTAAAAATGTTTGTACTGCAGTAAACTCTTGATTTTCCATTGTTATACTTCCCACTTTCAGCTTCTTTGTACAGAATATAAAGCAGTTACTTTTCCATACCTCATCACCAAGCAAACATGTTTTATTTTCTAAATGTAACATGAAATTTTATTACTAATTTTGTTCTTTAACTTTTATATTGCTCTTGCATGACAGCTGTGCCAGGAAGCACTAATGCTTCTTTCTTAATCCACTATATATACCCTTCATGTGGGTTCCTCTTAGGTTTTGTGGCATTTCTCTTAGTTTTGTCCTTGATTCATCAAACTTGTGAAGGTACCACAACTATAAAGAAACTGCAGTTTTGTACTAGTTTCATTAGGACTCTTTCAAAAACAAGACAACCACTGAATGATATTCCAAGAGAAAATTTCAGGGCAAAATTATGTACACAGTGTTTCACAAGTATGATCCTCAGGGGACCTCATAATACTTATCAGGCCCTGGAAGAAATTTGTCCTGTATACATATATATATAAAAGAGAACAGAGATATTCTGACATGAAACTGATTTTACCAGTTTAAAAATGCAATGAGCAGAACCTGAATAATTCAGAACTGACCAGCTAGAATCAGGTTTCTAAGTGCAAGGTCAGTGCAGTATAATAACAGAATTACAAGTGTGGGAGAAGTGAAAATGATATCAAATACGTAGCACAGAAAAAGTAGGTTAGTCAGCACACACTATTCCAGTGTTTCAACATTATGTTCAATTGCAGCAGGTACTGCATTCATTGCAGAAGCCTGCAAACTCAAACTGTGTTATAAAAATAAACAAGTTAGCAAAAACACACTTAAAATATTTGTAATAAAACCTTCAGGTTCTTGTTTATGTAGCTGACAACCTAAATAGTGAAATATGTTCTATATAGTTTTGTCTTAGTTTCCATCTCTGTACACTTATACTAGTTGTGTGTTTCTGAATACACATTCTCCCTCTTAATTTTGTTAGACTGGATATTCATGAGTTTATTGTATTCTATATCATTTGAATAAAAAATCACTGATAGTTAAACTCACAAATGAAACTATACTACCACACGACTTGCTCCAAAATAGGAGATTGTATAGAAAGTCTAAACATAAATTATAACAGATCTCATAGGAATACAATGAAAGCTTAACAACACTCTGCTTCAATAATGTAACTCAAGTATTCAGAAAAGATGTGAAACTTTAATTTACAAGTAGTGGAACATCCTACATCTTCATAATGAACTTAATAAATCTAATGGCTCAGGTTGTTTATATTTGCTCTTTTTGGAACGTCCTGATTTTGCTTGATGCTTCCATGGTGTAGTACAATACATAGGCTGAGGGTAGTCATTTGTTCCTCCAGTCTGTACCTACAAATGTTCAAATACCTAGTTTAATTTTGAACAGTTAGTAATGACATTGCTGGGCCCATAAGGTCTAACCACATCATGTCTATTATTTTATCTCTACTATGGTTCATTCCCTGATTATTTCATCTCTCTTAGACAGGGTTATCCACTGGCTGGTGCACAGCCTGGAGGGTATCACCATGTGATTTTCATTTACTGTACTTTAATATTATGTCATCTATAAAAGTAAGATGGCAATTATGCCTAAAGATCACAAGCATGTTATGAAAGTACAATGAAATCTTCTGAGAGTGTATACTCAGGTGGAAGAGTGGGACACTTCTACCATGAAGTTTGGCCAACACACAATGAAAAAATTTGTTTTGTTGAAGTCTGTCAAGTTTGGCCACCCACAATGCATAAGTTTGCTTCATACAAGCACTGTCTAGAAAACATAGTATGCAGATAGCATGGAAACCTCCACATTCTCCAACATTACCACTAGTATGAAGTGAGTGTTCCAGCTTTATAGTATTGCCAACTTTAAACCAAGGGCTGTGCCATAGATTAGGCAGTTAGTCGCCAGTGTCCTGGGTTTGAGTCCAGGTAATATTATGTGGGATTTGTGGGGGACAAAGTGGCACTGGGGCAGGTTTTCTCCGAGTACTTAAGTTTCCTCTGCCGATTCATATTTTGACTGTTCCACAATCATCATCACCACCTATCATCTGGGGCTGGTACAATAGGCCAAACAGTGGCTACAGTACTAAGCAGACTCAGTCTCACTCCACGAGAGGAAAAAGATCTTTAACCCCATGAAAACAGTTTTGGCTTTATCTAGATAGCATGTTGAGTTACTGCTAGAACCGTTTTGGAAATGCTGAGCAACAGAAATTAAAGTACACTCAACTCTCGATTATCCGGGATAATGGTGGGGATGGAAATCATGATTAATCGAAAACCCGGTTAAGACAAATTTTATTAAAAGTAGTACTGTAATACTGTACCTTCATAATACTATAGGCTTACCTGTATTTAAATTTATTCAACCTCATTTTTATGTCATCTCATGACCTATTTAATACTTTTTTTTTCACATTACATTGAAGTATGAATTAGTTAATTCAATTACACTGTTCAACAACATCCAACACTTTTTACACATATTCACACTCAACATTTTTAGCATTTTCCTTTTTACGGATATCCGTATGAAGCCCACATAATATTAGCTTGTCACTTAATAAACTGTTCTCTTCACTCTTAAGATAGTCTAGTAAGGATTCCAAATGATTAAGAGCAGCACCATGTGATAGTTTCTTACTAGCAGCACTGTCCACCTCTTCCTCATTCTCACTTTCTTCCCGCTCTTCGGGCTGCACCCCCACTGAACTTACGATTTCATCACTGCTTAACATTTCGAAGCCTGGCTCACATGAGTCACAGTCAAACCATTCTCTTATATTTTCCTTGTTGACTTCTTCACCACCATGAACTTGGTTAGCCAATTTTGTTAATTCTAGGGCTATCTCATTTTCAGTGAATCCATGGATTTTGTCATCTTCATTAGTGATGAAAGGCATCAGTGTCTTCCATGAATTTTTCAATACAGATGGCTTTACTGTATCCCACACTGCTGAAATCTTGTATATGGCATATGTGCTTGTTTAGCACAAATTGCTCCTGTTCTTATTGTTCCTTGTGCCCTTAGTTGATTAAACCAGATCAGCATTGCTTTGTCAAGATCATCATATGTTGATTTTTCATGGTTTTTCTCTTCTTCATTCCGCTTGAATTAGAAGAGGAAGCAAAGGAAATTAACTGAATCTTTTGTTTTTTCAAATCATGAACATTTTGTTCTCCAATACCATATTGCATTGCTAATTGTTTAACTACACCTCTTTTTCCCAACTGATTGATAAGTTCAAGTTTCTGTTGAATACTTAACACAACACGCTTCCTTTTACATCCTGACATTTTGCTAACGCACTTGAAGATCGATACAAAGAGACTAACTGGGGTGGTGTATCTGTCCTTGAAACTTTCCACAAATCCTTGCATTCTTTCACCCTTACCCTAGAACATTGTGTTAGCATAACGGGACCAAAAAATGCAGAGCTTGGTTCACACTAGCGAAAATAGTGTTACAACTCACCATGTGAAACAAAAGTGAATGAATATTAAACAATATATAAGCCTCAAAAAGCCCCGGTTAAGTCACAAACCGGTTTACCCATCCCTGGATAATCGAGAGTTGAGTGTATAAAGTTTGGAGAAGAACTTACGAGTACGCAGGCACAAAGAGAACCATGATCCTTCTGGTTCTAGGATTACCTTATCTATGTGATAAGGAATTTATTTACCTTTCCTGGTTTATGGCATGTTTCAAATCTTCTTCTCTTTGCAGAATCTGAGTGCTGGAGTTCACTGCCTTTCTTCCCAGAATGTAACAGCTGCTGTTGAAGAAATCTTGATATTTATAACTGTCTTTGAATATACGTGGTGCAATCCAAAAGTTCCCAAAATATATTAATAAAAACTATTACATCTTACCTAGATCTTATTCTGCACCATCACCTTCAAAACAGTCCCCTTGGGAGCGCATACACCGATCCCAGCGTTTCTACCATTTTTCAAATGCATCCTGGAAGTCTTTCTTTGTTAGGGTGTTTAGTACCGTCTGCGTTTCCGCTTGAATTTCCTCAACTGTATCATATCTTCGCCCCTTCAACTTGATTTTCATCTTGGGGAAGAGAAAGAAGTCACATGGAGCTAAGTCTGGCGAGTACGGTGGGTGGGGAACAACTGCCATCTTGTTTTTAGCCAAAAATTCTTGCACAATGTAAGCTGTATGCGGTCGTGCGTTGTCATGGTGGAGTACCCAGTCGTTCGTGTGCCACTTCTCTGGACATTTTCTCCTCGTGTCCTCCCTCAAACGCCTTAGAACATCGCGATAGAACTCTTTATTGACTGTCTGACCAGGAGGGATGAACTCCTCACGAACAATCCCGTTAAAATAAAAAAAACAGATCAACATGGACTTAATGTTGCTCTGGAATTGTCGAGCTTTTTTTTTGGCCAAGCTGAAGAAGGACTCTTCTATTGCGACGACTGCTGCTTACTTTCAGGTTCATAGCCATAAACCCAACTTTCGTCACCAGTGACAACCTTCGAAAGAAAGTTGGATCCTCTTGAAGCTGTTGCTGAAGTTCCCTGCAGACTTCCAAGCGATGCTGCTTCTGTTCATTTTGCAGCAGTTGTGGCACAAACTTCGCCACAATCCTCCTCATGTTCAGTTCCTCTAATAAAATTCGTTGACATATATCATAACTTAGTCGCAAGGTGTTACAGAGGTCTTGGAGGGTCCTTCTATGACCTTACAGAATCAGATCCCTAACTTTCACGACATTTTCTGGTGTTTTGCCCGTTGACGGCCGTCCCGAACGATTGTCATCATCAGTGAACGTTCAGCCATTTTTAAAATGCTTATACCAGTTGTAAGTTTGTGTCTGGCCTAAACTGTTTTCACCAAAAGCTTGCTTCAATATTTGGTGCATTTCTGCAGTGGTTTTCCCAAGTTTGAAACGAAACTTTATACAGACACACTGCTCTCTCAGGTCAGCCATCACAAAACCGCAAACTCACGGAAACACAACAATGGAAATACGTTCACCAACAATAAACCCAACCACTCAACTCGACGCCGCTTGCCACACTGATTCAAGAAGGATGTGTGAGGAGACACCCAGCAGTATTTCGATGTACTCATAACCATTCGCATGCAAAATTCAAATTTTGGTAACTTTTGGATTGCCCCACGTATATTCTTCTACAGTGCATGTTTCTTGACAAAATCCAAACAATGTAAGGATACAACAAAGAATTTAGTTAACCCATAGAAACAAGAAATCATTAAGGTAAGACAGCCTTTCACTGGAAAATATGACTCATCACCAAAACAGGATAAAAGAACCATTAGCCTAGGAGAAGTGACTAGTATGTCTTCATATTAATTTATTACTGTAGTTAATATTATAGCATTCCTATAAGCTTCTACTGGATATCTGGTAGTATGTTGGGTGCCGGAAGATTACAGATACAAAACGCAGCAAGTGAATTCCAGCATTATTAATTAATAATTTGTAACTAGGTACAAATGAACATTTTAACAAACATAAAAAATTTGTGTACTTACTACAAGATCACTAAACTCAATACTGCTATGGTCACTGTCACTTATCACTTGATCATCCGATTTAGTCTTCACAAAAGCCTGGTTATAAGTATTTCTGGGCAATGGAGGTTTTAAATTCGCCTGTAAAAAATCATTATTTAGAAACAGCATGTGTCTGACATTGTAAGTAACGCTCTTTCTTCACAAGTTCGCTCTCTTGCGCCCAATAATGGTACCAAGTAGATTTAATTGTGTTGAAATAAGTAACTGTTTTACTAAATTACCCTACATATCAAATGAAGAACATAAAGGATTTGGAAAACAGAACTGTTGGGTTTTTCTGTTTGGGAGAGAGGGTTTAACTGAAGAAGATTAAGGTGTCTTCCTCTAATACCGGGATGTAATTATCCTGCTTCCTCCTGCACCAAAAAAGATTATAATCCTCATAATTAGTATTGTATAAAAAATCCAGGAAAATTAGAAGGAACATGTACATAAAATAATTCCTGATAGATTCCCACGGCATTACTTACCCCGGGGACTTCCTACTGAAAGGTATCAAACTACACAATTTACTGTCTCATAAGTATATGAGGGGAGACCCAAAAATAACCGGAAACGACCTGTTGCGCGCGCATGCTTTGTAGTTACGAGTTGTGCTGCTAGGTGGTGTTAGCTGGGGGTCTCCCGCGACTGTTAGTGAGCTGGCGTCAGTCTGAGTTAAGTGGTTTGTCTGTGGTGCTCTGTTGTGTGCGTTCCTGTTTCAACCCTTTGGCGATTAGTGAGATGGCCGACCAGAAGGAACAAAGAGTGTGCGTGAAATTTTGCTTTCTGTTAGGGAAAACTGCACTTCACTCTTCAAGTCGCGGCAAACATTCACGCGGTTTTCTCTTTGGTCATCTCCGAGCAAGCGAGGAACAAATTTTGCAGACACCCGTCTCATGTGCAAACCTTCGGTTAAAATTCGCTGGACCGTGCTCCATGAGATGTTCGTTTCCTCAGAAAGTTGGTCAATGGTCTTTCGACGATCTTCATCAATTGCACGTTTGATTTTGGCAATGTTTTCGTCATTTCTTCCTGTCGAAGGACGCCCGGGGCGTGGCATGTCTTCTGTTGACATGTTGCCAGATTTGAAATGGGAAAACCACTCGTAGACCTGTGATTTCCCCAAAGCATCATCATTAAAGGCTTGCCGAAGCATCCCAACAGTCTCGGCTGCAGTTTTCCCTAACAGAAAGCAAAATTTCACGCACACTCTTTGTTCCTTCTGGTCGGCCATCTCACTAATCGCCAAAGGGTTGAAACAGGAACGCACACAACAGAGCACCACAGACAAACCACTTAACTCAGACTGACGCCAGCTCACTAACAGTCGCGGGAGACCCCCAGCTAACACCACCTAGCAGCACAACTCGTAACTACAAAGCATGCGCGCGCAACAGGTCATTTCCGGTTATTTTTGGGTCCCCCTTCGTATGGTTTAAAGAAATGTCACTTTCATCAGTAGAGCTTCTAGTGGAAAATTCTCCTTTTGATAGCTGTTATAATAAATGACATCAGAGAGACCACCCTTGTTTTTCCCCTACGTGTCCGAATTCTTAGCAGTTCACCAAGCAAATTTATTATAGACTATTTAATGTATTCTAAAAAACATGGAAAATAAAATGCATTGTGCAGGAAAAGTAATGTAGCTTTTGTATGAATATTAAGTACCTAGTATATNTGGGCTCGGCTTTGCGCAACATGTCACAATATGATAAATAAAGTGAAACGATTTTTAAAATTAAAGTACACAGTAGATTCATATCCAACGTCACACTGCCTACAATTTGTCTGGAACCCTGCAGCTGGTTACCCCCCAAGTAAGGAATTACCCCAACTACAAACAGAACCAACAGACACTTAAATACTGCGTTTGGTTGGCTATCGTGGCACTACACTGTACCATAATCAAAAACCCACACTGGAACAACACTCTGAAGGAACAATGAACATTCTAGCCTGTGTAATCAGTAGGGCCCAGATTTTTTGAAAATGCATATGCGCATATGCAAATGCATATTTTGAGGCTTTTTGGTCATTATTGCATATTCTAAACGTAAGAGCATATTTCTGCATATATGTTTGAAATTAAGGATAATTTCAATATTCTCTAACAAAATCGGTTTTGCCTGTGTTTTGGACATCCCTTACCAGTTGCTATTCTCAACTCTCTGAGTAACGGCACTTTTGCCACTTACAATACAAGGAGGTGTCTTGGCTATTTCCAAAGGGAAGGCGTGGGACTTTCCTGCATTCCACTGACCACCACAGCAGACAGTAGCATCAGAGGGTTGGTCTTGAGAAAAGCCTTTTCAGTTAATATGTTACTCTTTTCTTTAATAGTCTGCATCAAAAAAGTGTTCGTGTACTGAAAATGCCTAAAGAAATGTGCAGCAGTAGATATTTAAAAAATCAATTGGTTTCGGGTGATAGTGACTATTCAGCAGACAGTGTCGTCGTGTACTGTCAAGTTTGCGCAAAGGAAGTAAAATGTGAAAAGAAATTTCAACTTGAACAACACTCAAGAATGACTGCACATATTACCGCAAAGAAGGGGAAGAACAGCACACCACAACTACTTCTTACACAGGTCAAACCCAAGTCCTTTGTTAATACATTTTCAGCCGATCTTTGTAAGGCTTTAGTATGCAGAAACATTCCATGGAATAAATTATAGCAATCCAGTTCTGCAATCATGTCTGGATACTTCAAAAAATCCCAGACAAACCAACTCTTAGAAAAAAATATCTACCTTTGCTGTATGAATCTACTCAATCTGTTCTGACATTGGAGCGAACTGTGTCTGGATATTGGTAGATGAGACAACTGATTTATGTGGCCGATACATAACAAATTTCGTAGTTAGTAAGTTACATCCAGACGAACCCGACAAACCTCATCTTCTTGCTTGCAAACTACTAGAGAAAACCAACCATAGCACAATAGCAAGATTTGTAAATGATTCTCTGCAAGTACTATTGCCATCTGAAATTGAGAATTGTTGTAAGGTGCTTGTATTACTCACAGATGGAGCTTCCTATATGTTGAAAGCAGCAAAAGCCTTGCAAGTATTTTATCCACATCTTATACACGTAACCTGTTTAGCGTACGGATTACACCATATTGCAGAAAAAATACACGCAGTTTCCAGCTGTTAACGATTTAATTGCAAGTGGGAAAAAACTGTCTCTGAAAGCACCAGCTGTGTCCAGTTCTACAAAGATTGCCTACCTCAGGTTCCTGTGCCACCTGAACCTGTCCTAACTAGGTGGGGAACATGGTTATCCGCAATTTCATTTCATCAGGAGAATTTCAATCAAGTAAAAGAAGTGGTTAAAAAAGTTGAAGATGAGTATGCATGTGTCCATGAAGCAAAAGTGGTGTTTGGATGTGATATTGTTTATCAAGATGTGAATTTTATCCATGCACATTTTTCTACAGTTTCAAAAGCCATTGAGAGCTTAGAATCTTGTGGTGCACTCCTTCATGACTCACTTGAACTCGTTCACTGAATTCTGCTCCAGGCGAAATTGGAGAGAAGATTAAATGCAAGTTATAAATGGTGTTGAATTCGAACGCAGAACTAAAAAAGATTCAGTCAGTTAGTCAGTGCTTGAGTGGAATTAGGGTATCTTTGCCAGATGAATGTTCCGAACTTTCGGCGCCAGTGTATAAATACTGTCAAATCATGTCAGTTGATGTAGAAAGACCATTCTCAGCCTATAAACTCATTTTGACGGACAATAGATGAAGTTTGTCTCCAGAAATCAGTGAGAGACTTCTAGTTGCCTATTGTGATGCTACTTTCTGCAGTGAATGATACATGTAATAGGTGAGTCTGAATAAAGTGACCTGATTCTTAAGTGCATATTGTTTTATTTTTGGTGCATATTTTCCCGCTTTTTAACGAATAAAGATCCGGGTCCTAGTAATCAGGCTGGCTCCTTGCCTAGATCTGATGCCCCTGTGCATCCTCTTTTTGATCAGCTAGTGCTGCATCTCCAACACCTGGAGACTGAAACTCATGGCTTGGGCTGAAGTCTGCATACCTGCACAGCCCCCCACTTTCTATATGCTTTGGTTAGAGAATCTGACCAAGAATTTTGAAAATTTGGATGAAAAGGTAGGAGAAATTATTAAAAATTAATCTCTATTCTATTTTCTTTATTGTTCAATGTGTCCAGGGTTGTTCACCCATAAAGATAAATATTAAAACCAACCTCAAATTAAAATGTCATGACCTTGTACCTGGTGCCATTGAGCCACTTTGTAATTAGGCCATGTCTCAAGGTACAAATGTGAAACCAGATGGATAATTTAAGGAACTGTTACAGTAAGTGCAACTATTTTTTTTTTTTTGCTGTTTGCAAAAAAAAAAAAATCTTACACAGGATACAACCATAATTACTGAAAGTTTATGTTTGTTCTAATTTTGTGGTTTAACAATTCTGATAGATATTTTCCTCCTGCATGACTGAGAGTAGGAGAACACTGATCATTGGTCAAAGAATTTGAACTGAACATGAAATTGGAGTGCAGTACCACTCATGTAGTCTTGTTTTATTCTCTGAATGCTTCAAATACCTTTATTGATGAAGAGTCTTGTTCAGAGATCTGAGATATATTCCGAATTGTAGATGGAGTGCTTTCATTCTCCAACTCCAGTTTCAGCTGCTTTATTTTACATTCCAGCATCTTCTTCTGTATTTCTGACTCCCTTTCTATTGACTCCTAAACAAAATAGTAATTATTCTTGATGAAGAGTTTGGTACCATTATAGTATACCAAAGTGGAACAGTTTCCTCTACAACAAAATAACCACAAATATTCTTTATGGTTAAGGAACAATTAGGATTTAGAAAAGAATCATCCACTGAAATGGCAACGTATAATCTTCTAAATAATATATCGACTTCCCTAGACAAAAAGAATTATGTGGGTGGTTTATTTTGCGACTTACAAAAGGCTTTCAACTGTGTCAACCACAATGTACTCCTGGAAAAAATTAACTCTTATGGAATCTTGGGTACAGCACTCAAATTAATGACATCATACCTTGAAAATAAATATCAAAGAACAATTATGAAAGATATTAAACTTAGTAAAGTATTTTCAAAATGGGAGCAGGTCAAACATGGAGTTCCACACCACTCTATATTGGAACCACTATTATTTCTTATTTACATAAATGATTTCCCATTTTCCTTAAAGAAATTAGTTCAACCTATATTATTTGCGGATGACACAAGTATTATTACATCTAATTCGAGTCCTGAAGAATTTAGAAGTAATATTATTTCAGTTATTAATGAAACAGTGACGTGGTTTAATAGGAACTTTTTAACTCTAAATTGTGATAAAACAATTTCTTACAATTCTTCTTAAAAAAGCATAGAGAAATAGAAATTCAAATTACATCAACCAACTCATTAATTACTAACATCAATTGCACTAAATTCTGGGGAATAAATATTGATAGCACCCTGTCTTGGAAGAATCATATTACTGTGTTATCATTAAGATTAAATAAGGCCTGTTTTGCAATAAGGGCAATAAAGCCCTTTATGTCATTAGATTCAATAAAGATGATTTACTACTCTTATGTACATTCGATACTGAAGCATGGCATTATCTTTTGGGGTAGTGCCGNGACGTGGTTTAATAGGAACTTTTTAACTCTAAATTGTGATAAAACAATTTCTTACAATTCTTCTTAAAAAAGCATAGAGAAATAGAAATTCAAATTACATCAACCAACTCATTAATTACTAACATCAATTGCACTAAATTCTGGGGAATAAATATTGATAGCACCCTGTCTTGGAAGAATCATATTACTGTGTTATCATTAAGATTAAATAAGGCCTGTTTTGCAATAAGGGCAATAAAGCCCTTTATGTCATTAGATTCAATAAAGATGATTTACTACTCTTATGTACATTCGATACTGAAGCATGGCATTATCTTTTGGGGTAGTGCCGCCCTTAGTATGAGTATCTTTAAAATTCAAAAAAGAATCATAAGAGTTATGTCTGGTTCGGGCAATTTGATTCATGTCGGGATTTGTTCAAAAAATTACAAATATTGCCACTCCAGTCTCAATATATTTTTTCCTTGCTTCTTTTCGTTATTAAGAATAAAAATTACTTTACATCTAACATGGATATTCATGATATTAATACCTGCTATAATTATAATTTATACTTACCCTCTACAAATTTATCAATAGTACAAAAAGGAGCACTGTCCTANACTACTCTTATGTACATTCGATACTGAAGCATGGCATTATCTTTTGGGGTAGTGCCGCCCTTAGTATGAGTATCTTTAAAATTCAAAAAAGAATCATAAGAGTTATGTCTGGTTCGGGCAATTTGATTCATGTCGGGATTTGTTCAAAAAATTACAAATATTGCCACTCCAGTCTCAATATATTTTTTCCTTGCTTCTTTTCGTTATTAAGAATAAAAATTACTTTACATCTAACATGGATATTCATGATATTAATACCTGCTATAATTATAATTTATACTTACCCTCTACAAATTTATCAATAGTACAAAAAGGAGCACTGTCCTATGGAAGCAAGATTTATAATCACTTACCTTTGAATATTAAATTGTTATCTAAAGATGTTAAGCAATTCAAATCTTTATTGAGAAGCTATCTCACTGAACATGCATTTTATAGCATTGATGAATTTTACAAAACAACTTCCCAGTGAATACCTGTACATTATTTAGTTAGTCGTAATTTACTTTTATTACCATATTTGTATTAATTCTATGTAAAATTGTTTCAGATGGCTACTGTACGATTTATGACATGTATATTAGATTTACTGTTATACTCATTGTTTTATATTTATAATGACAGTCTCTATATCCTATAGGTCTTTGACCTTGTATGGATTAATGGAATGTAATTAAATAATAAAAAAATAATAAATGCTTATACTGTTTTAAATATTATTATTCATCATTGCATAGTCTCGTCCATGGGTACTGAACTCACTCTCTCACCATCTCATGTTGCCCTCTTCATTCCTAATTTCAAATGTGCGCTTATGTGTACTAGCTGAGGAAAAATTAGAAGACACATGCATACAACACAAAATTAAACAGTAGAATTACTACATCTCACACATTCAAAACCTTCCCTCAAATTACTTTATCAAAATTATGTACGTGATTAATTCACATAATTTATACATGAATTTAAATTTATTTTATATAAAAAAACTCTTGTATGAAGCTTTATGTAGCTGATCAGTGATTTATAACTACATCTAAATGTGACCTACAGATTTCACTTAAAACATAAATATTAGTAATTCAAAATATTCCATGGAGATATTAACAGTAATAGCCAAGATAAGCATTTAGTGGGAAAAAAACCAATTTGCATTATATTTGTGTTAACAACAAAATTATTTTAAACAACATAATATACTCAGTTAAAGGATGTAATATATCTAATGAAAGAGAAAATATAAGCATAAAACTTATCATCAATATACAAATGGAAAGCATCATAAACTAAATATTCAACCATTAAAGACATACAAGAATTCAAATTTATGACATGATCGATTTCATCCTATCTCAGGAAAGACGGGACAATAAGGACTAATGAAAGATGATTAATATGATTAAAATGTATTCCATATGTACAGGACACTGAATAGTTTTTTATGAGAAGAGAAACGAAGAAATAAAGGGAGTGATAGGTCTATATATTCTATCAATAACAAAGATGTTATACTATATTATACAAGAATTTTAAAGAACTCAAAGAGGGAGCTCCTGGATTCCATCATTCCATAAAATAACTAATTATGGATCAACTCTAAAGCAGGAATATACATAGAACATCTGAAAAGATATTAATAACAGGCAAACTGAGAATTACAGAAACCTATACTTCCTTCCGAGAACTAAGGACATATTTATTTAAATGTGTACCTTATGACTAGTAATATTATTCAACTTTTCCTTCAGCATGCAGTTGTCTTTCCTTTGTTCATTCAGTTCAGCTTCTTTCTCTTCTGCCTGCTTTAGTGAAGCTTCTCTGCACTCACGAAGGCCTTCCATTATTTCCTGTAACATAAAATATTTATCAAGGGCAAGATGTTTAATCTTAAATGTAATGATCATGAATGATTGATAAGAATACTGCAATTCTAAAAGTCTTAGTCCTACACAAACTGTTTTCAGCTCCTTTGTTATTAAGGTTCATTCTAATCTGAAGACTTATGTAAGTGTGTTATAGTAAGTAGATAGTAACTGAATCATTCATTATTCAGACTGTGTTAACATTTTAAACAGAATACCAAATTTCGTTGAAATCAACTGAGTAATCCTGTGGATTATATATATAGGAAGGCAGATGAATGGATAGACATAATTTCTTCACTTTGAATGCATTTTATAAAGGTGACTAATGAAAGATACCAAGCAAGATGTAATAAGGCCGTACCATAGCTCTAGCAGTTAGTTGCTGGCTTCCCACTGGGGCGGCCCGGGTTCGATCCCGGGTCTGGTCAAGTGGGATTTGTGGTGGACAAAGTGGCGCTGGGGCAGGTTCTCTCAGAGTACTTTGGTTTCCCCTGCCAATCTTCATTCCACCAATTGCTCCATAATCACCCTCGCCTATCATGTGGGGCTAGTACAATAGGCCAGAAGTGGCCGCAGTACAAGGGACTTACTCGTAGTCCCCAAGCGGCCTCCGCAGTCTAGAGGTAACGTTCCCACCTCATAACTCATGGTACGCGGGTTCAAATACCCGGCGGAGGTCGTCGAATTTTTAAGGGCGGAAAAATTCAGGGAACAAGTCCTCCGGGAGGGACTTTAAGCTGTGTCCCCAGTGTCGTAACTTTATGGCACGTAAAAGAACCTCATATCCCCAAAGGGGATCACTGAGCCAAATTCCAGGACGTTTCCCGCCCAACAATAGTCTCTAAGGCCTCTGATAGATGGGGGAAGCATTACAGACACCGTTAAGCAAGTGGCCGAACTCGCTTGCTCGGCGAGACTGATGGTACGCACCATTTATCGGTAGGGTATAGAGACTGGTAGAATATCATAGAGGGAAGCACAATATATCAAACTGGTCGTGGTGCATGGGGAAACCCACCCTCCCTAAATAACTAACTAACTAATAACTACTCGTAGTCCCACCCCACTAGCATTAAAAAAAAAGTGCAATAAACATATACTGCATGTAAATATTGATTCAGCTTCAATAATCAGCCTGGTACCTCCAGTGACTATCATATTTTTTTTTCTTTCTTTTTGGGTTTGTACTGCTGCTGTTTAGTACCAAATGCTGCCAAATGGAGTGTTTTCTGCATTCTCAATCTGAGAGTTTCTATACGTCCACCATCTAGCCCCTTTACTTCTCCTTGTGAATGTCTGTCCAGAAATATTATCAGAATTCACTCTTTATGACTCTGAATGTTTCTATCAGCTGTCAAGGACTAAAAGAGACAGTGCTCTATTTATCTCAGAAATTTAAAATAATAAATCTTTCAGATAGGTGGCGACTGAATTATTTTATGTCAGAACTTACTATGAATTTGTTAAATCTTCATGTCTTTAAGAATCAGGTATATGATTTTTTTAATTGTCTCTCACTTTTAAAGAAGCAAAGGCACTGATAAATGCAAATCTCTATATATGCCAAAGATAAAATAATAAATTAGCATTCTGTTTGAACACTTTCTTTTTAAAGAGATATCAATTCAGGGCCTATGTTCATTTATAATGCAATCTCCATATAAGCCAAAGATAAAATAATAAATTAGCATTCTGTTTGAACACTTTCTTTTTTAAAGAGATATCAATTCAGGGTCTATGTTCATTTAAAATGCTAGCCTTTTAGAATCAAATGGAAGTACATAAGCATTCTGCATTATTAAACACATGGCTGGCATGTTTTAAACATGGGAGGAGAAATGACTCTTGATAGCTTGATTAACCAGAACATACATTAAGAGTAACAATGCTTTTAATATATTTAACAATTACCTGTCTTTTTTTATCATGCTCAGAATCCCTCTTTTCTCGTTCCTCCTTCACAATTTTAGTTTCCTCTCTTGTTTTATTTACTGCCATCAACATTTCTTTCTTGATATCTGCATGTTCTTTATGTTTTCTTTCAACTTCTTTCTTTAATTTCCCCACCTCACTCTGCTTCACCACCAACAATTTGCTTGCTTCTTCTAATCTTGTCTTTTTCTCCTCCACAAGGATACTTAGTGATTCCATCTTTTCTACTTCATCTGCTGCACTGGCCTTCAAACTTTGTAACTAAAGCAAATATTAAACACTGACTCCTGAATGTATTACTTACTGAAGTGAAAGAATTTACATGACTGACAAATACATGTGTATGTGCGTGCATGTGTATGTAAATAGGTAAAAAAGTAAAGTTATCCCCGTAACAGACCATGGAGGCCCATAGGGTTGTGAGATATTGAGGCTCTCACATTTATAGACAATCAGCTCACGTATGGCGGTGAGGTTGTCAGCCTTACACACTGGTTACCATTTACGACCCACAAAGGTTTCTGGTCTTCATTTCTATTAGGNAAAATATAAGGCACTGTTCAGCAAACTAATCTGTAAAGTGAAATTCAAACAAGTAGATCTGGCAACTCACAACGATAAGGTTGGTTTCTGATAAATTAGTCTGAATCAATGTTGAAAAAGCCTCAACTATTTCATAAAGCCTCTTATTATTATGGATAATAAAAATATCTGCACTTCCTTGTATTGAAAATTACAGAGTGATGACATTCCGTGTTACCAGAATAACAAGAAGCCGTGAGTCACTCTTACATACAGCCCAACTTCATTATTGGCCATATGTCACTTTTACTGCATACCACATGTTTTTCTGATAAGGTGGCCTGGACCGCATTACTGGCCACACTACTTTTATATCAATGTACTAATTAGCTGCATTAATTACATTATCTCACTCAAGTGGCAATAAAACAAAAATATTTATCTAACACTTTACTACATGTCAAATACTCATATAAGAGTATAGTGAAACCAGCTCTCTTACTAGCATTCGTATCACTGAATCATTATTTCAGTCATATAAATTACTGGCAAAGTAACAAATATCAGTAGCAAAGGAACGTTGAAAATTAAATAGGAAATCTGGTCTGTCATAAAAATTATGTTTATCATCAAAATAACTATTACGGACAACACGGATATAAATTAAATTAAATTAAACTACACTGTTGTTGCCTATAGATTCAATGCTGTTTAATTATACTCATAATATTAAACTTCAGATACTAACAACACAAAGGAAAATAAGTGACACCACAGTAATAGAAGTATACACAGCATGGCCATGAATTTTTGCACTTACACTGATGAGCCTCCTAGGCAAATATTCTTACACTGGCTTTTGTAAGTACAAACAAAAGCAGCTTCAGTAATGGCCCTATATGAGAATCATGCTATCCCTCTCATACCACAGTGAGCAGGAAATGAAAAAATGAAGCACAAGAAAAGTAGGGGGAACTGAAAAAAAAATTAGGAGTGTTTTTGTGCAAGTCTCATGAGATTTCCTAGTTACTAATAAAACATACCTTCAACTCAAGACTCTTCATGAGTGCATCTTCTTCTTCAAATTCTTGTTGAAATGCTTTAACAGTATTAGTCTGATCTTTCAACTTGGTGCGTTTTGAATCTGCTTCTATATTAACAACATCTAGTGCAGATTTTAAGTCTGAAAGTTCAGATCTGTAGCTGTCACTAGTAATCTCATACTCTGAACTGAAAGATCAAATTGATAAACGAATCGGTTCATATACTCTGAAACATGTAAAGTGTGTTTATCAAGTTGGAATGTTAACATGCATGATAGTGTAAGAGTATTCCAAATTTTAGAACTCACAGTACTTAAAATAAATACACATTAACAGTGTATGTCTATTGCATGTACAGTCTCAATAATAATCCAGTCTTCTCATACAGCAGTTATTTTTTCACTTGAACATACACTGCTTCTGCTACGAAACTTCAGAGGCAAGATAAGAGTGAAATGCAAAAGAGGATGTGTTTTAAGCAGATAACATGTGTACAACCATGAATATGTGTGTCATTTTTATTTACAAATGATTATTATTAAAAACATCTCGACAAATTCTGTAAAAGAAACCGCAATATTTCCTTCAGCTCTCAAAAGTATAACACAGTGTGGCCCAAACAACTGGATGACATAATCTTTTATATTATTACTAGTGTGATGGACCTCGATGAACCAAGTCACATATCACTCTTTCATTATTATCTCTTTCGATTTAATATTCAGACAAATATATATAGGTAAGTGTTCTCTCTTGCCTCTTGAGGCTCTTTTCATGGTGTGAAAATAATGTGTCATTGTTCATTTCAGCCTGTGCAGTTACAGATGACCGTTGCTTTGTGCGTGGTACCAGAAATTTCTGTTTTCCTAGCAGCAATGGCACAGTGAAACTATTATAAGACATTAATAAAAACTACAATATGTTTTGGATTACTCAGAAGTTACAGTATAGAGTTATAATTACAAACAGGAGAGAGAAAATGAGCCATAAATACCGTATTCTTTCCAAATTCATTGTCAAATCTGTCAAATCTTGTGTTAAACAGTCATGTTTAATCCTACTGTCTTCCAACTTTCTATTCACATCCTTATGTTTATCTTCAAATTCACTTTTTCGTTGCAACAAATCCAGATTTTCTGTTTCATATGTGTCTTTCTGATTATGTTTTTCACAACTTTCTCTTTCATGGTGTGACAGTCTCTCTTTCACACTGTCTAGCTCTTGAGATAATATCTTTAATCAAAAAGCACAATAAGAGTACCTGACTGTAATATACAAATAAACAATAAGGAATGATACAAATGATATGGTTTAACAACAACTTACAAAATTGCCTAGAAATTCACAAAAACCTCACTATCAAGACTGGTTTCCACAACTGATATGTATTCATTCCTACTTTTCAAAAACTGAAATATTCTAATCAAATGGAGAAACATACTGCAGAAAAAAATATGGCCTAAAAAACCACTGTGTTTTGTGTTGGGTTTGAGGTTCTAATGGTAGAGACTATGAGAAGTAATATCTTCTGATATGTGAGGCCATGTGGTCTGGTTCAAGTTTTGAAGAAATATACTGTGTCTAACTTCAGGGTCAAAGAACGAGTGAAGCCAGAAAAACAGCAGGAAACAAGCACTAAGCACAGCTCACCTGAACATGAAGATGGAGGCAGAACATTCCTCTGAAATGTCAGTAAACTTCTACCAGACTACATAACATTCCAAACAAGATAATACTTTCACTTTATTTTAATCTAAAGTAAAAAGCAAAGGAATACATATGCAGTTTGCTGGTTACTTACTTTTTCCTCACTGCTCACACTTGCAAACAACTCTTCCAAGTCAACAGCCTGCTTCTTGAAACAGTCTCTTTCAACTGTGATGCTGTGTAATGATTTTTTGAGATCTTTTCTCTTACTCTTATAAGAATGTGTATCAGTTTCCAAAGTTTCATTCTTACAAGCAAAAGACTGTACAGTTTCATGGGCATGTTTCAGTTTCTGCAATAGGTAACGAGTATAAAATTATTCAACACCATAACCAAATGCATACCCAGTATTTGTGAAATTGTCTCCTACCAAAAAGTATGACCTCTAACGAGTTAACTGACTTTTGCCATTCTATGTGAATTTATTATTTTACAAAAGTTGTAAAAAAATCAACAAAAAGTATATAAAGCAGCCTCACTACATCGATGATGGAAATTTTGACACTTGGTCATTTTACATTAATTTTATTTCACCAGCAGACTTTGCGCTCCACCACCAATTATAATACAGATCTGGCACACACCCAGCATCTTATCCTTTCGGTTCCTTTAATACTTCCCAGAACATCACGATGAACGTTTCAGCCATGGTCTGAGAATATACATGGTGTGTTCAAAAAGTATTGAACCTTCTTTTTTCTGGCGTAAACCAATGAAGCGCGGGAGGCTCCCTTCAGTGGAGATGTGGAGGGGACATTCATGCGCAGTCGTGAATTTTTCCCGCCAGCAGAAAGTGTCAGTCGCTGGCAGTCAGCCTATGAGTGAGGACGTGTAGTGAGTGCTCATCAGATTCCAGTAAGGTGTAAAATGATGGAACAACATGAGCAGCGATATTGCATCAAATTTTGCCAAACGCTTGGTGACACCCAAGTGGAAACCATTCACAAGATTCAACAGACTTTCGGGGACGATGCCATGAGCAACTCATGGATAAAGGTGTGGTACAACCGCTTCAAGGATGGCCGCACATCAGTGGACAGCGAACTGCATTCAGGCAGACCCTCAGCTCAGCCGAAATGAGATTGTCATTGAGCAAGTGCGGACTTTGGTCATGGAGGACAATCGTATCACAGTCCAAGAACTTGCGAACAAGATAGGGGTAAGCATTGGATCGGTACATTCAATTTTGACCGAGGATTTGGGCATGAGGAGAGTGTCCGCGAAATTCGTACTGAAACTGCTAACAATGGAGCAGAAGCAACGCCGTCTGGAAATCACACAGGACATGCTGGACAATGCAAACAGTAACCCCAATTTTCTGAAAACCGTGATCACAGGCAATGAGTCGTGGGTTTATGGGTACGACCCGGAAACCAAGATGCAGTCGTCACAGTGGAAACATCCGACATCCCTGAGAACAAAAAAAAGCACGGCAGGTCCGCAGCAATGTCAAGGTCATGTTGGCCATTTTCTTCGACTCCCATGGAGTTGTGCATCATGAGTATGCACCACAAGGCCAAACCATCACAAAGGAATACTACCAGGAGGTCCTTCATCGCCTTCGTGATGCTGTGCGGCGCAAACGACCGGATCTGTGGGCAGCAAAAACTTGGCAGCTCCATCATGATAACGCACCCGCCAATTCTGTGCATCTGATTCAGACTTTCATAGCCAAACACAACATCCCTGTGGTTCGTCAGGCTCCCTACTCCCCCAACATGGCTCCGTGTGACTTTTGGCTATTTCCCAAGCTGAAAATGCCGCTGAAAGGAACCTGACTTGAGACAAGAGAAGACATCATGCGGAATGCGACGGCCCGGCTGATCACCATTCCAAAAGACACGTTCCAGAAGTGTTTCCAACAATGGCGGAAGCGCTGGGAGAAGTGTGTGCATTACCAAGGAGACTACTTTGAAGGAGATTAGGGATCTGTACCTCCAAATCAATAAATGTATTTCTGCCGACCAAAGGTTCGATATTTTTTGAACACATCATGTACACTCCACTCTGCTCTTCACATAACTCATCCTAATTGGCAACCATAACAACTGGAAGAAAAAATCATTACCTCACTTAAGTTCAGCTCCTCTTCTGTAATGTTTCTGTCTAATTCTTCATCCTGAATATTCAATGAAGAATATTTTTCCCCTTCACTTTTCAGTATGAGCATCTTCTCACATAAAATATTATCTTGTTTCTGATAATTAGAGTTAGCATCAATAATTTCATTGATTCTGAGCTCGCGCTCCTTTCCAACTGTAAAAATTAAAATGTTACTAAAACATATTCTTTAAATTGGTACACAATATTGCAAAGATAATTTATATGCTAGTTTGCTATGCTATGGTAGTGATTTAAAATAATGAAAATGTAAGCAAAGTTTGTACACCCTCTTCCCACTATACACAGACCCATTACTCAAAGTTACAATTTTCAGAAAAATAAAATGTTCTGAAGTGGTAATGGTAAAAGTTAAAGCTATCCATGTAATTCACTAAGCATTCTACCACAACACTGCATGGGAGAGTGGAGGTATAAACTGACACATTCCTAACCTAAACAATAGCCAGGGATGAGCAGTCAGCTTCAAACTCCAGCCACCTTACTACTAAGAAAAAAAACCCTCATTACCAATTGAACAGTAAGCATCAAGCCCAAACTGGATCTGGAAGGGAAAAGAAAAATTCTTGCTCCTACCAAAAACTGACGCCCAGCCCACAGTATGTCACTTTACTGACTTAAATTATCCTTTCTCACAGTAATATGGAAGTGTTCACATGAAACATTAATTTCTTCTCTTTTATTAATTATTTCAGAGTCGTTGTTTACTTTCCATACAGTACGGACAATTCTCCGTAAGATGAGGCACCGACTATTCAATTAATTAATTTGCAACATCATGGGCCTCCTATGCATTCTTATATAAAATAAATATCGAATTTCAAATTTGTCCATGGAAACGTATGAAAAGTAAAATATCAATGACTGATTCGATGTTATGTAACATCAATTTTATCTTGTTTTATACAATAACTTTTAGTTTTTTATATAATCTGACTTATTGTATTTTTACGCAAAGTATTTTAAATGATTAATAACACTGTATCCAATCTAATGTACTGCAGTTCAATGGTATATGTTTGCCTGATGATGGCCGTTAGTGGCTGAAACATGTAACGAAACATAGCTGGGCGTTGACCTTGATTTTTTATGTTTGTTGTGTTGTGACGGTCAATAAAGAGTTGTATATTGTAACAAAACAGGATGCATGAAATGAAAATTATTTCAGTACAGCCTTTATTGCTGGGGCAATTGCTCTTCTTCCCTGCTTCCTAAAGTACCTTCTCTTACTTTCTAGTTTCAATTCCCATGCCATGTCCTATATTTAGGACAAGTACATTTGCTATTCTACATGTAAATCAATATAGTTCCATTTGAATTTAAATCTGTAAAACATTTCATTCATGGGAATACATTTAAAAATTAGATTTTTGCATAACAGGATTATGGTGCATTAAATTATGGCTAACAATTGTATTTATACCTCTTAGTCTCATTAATGTTGATCTCTGGAATGTAACTCCCATATATTACATTATTTTGATAGCATTATTGGTCCTGCCGTGTGTAGTGAGCTGAAAACCCTGATTACTATGTGAAGAAGGAAGAGAGTATAAAGGACTTTTATATTCTAACATACTGACACAATATTTCATGAATTACTGCCATGTTATCATAAAGCAAAATTGTACCTTTTGTGGCAATTACATCATTTTTATACATTCTTTCCAGAAGATGTACAAAATTAATGAAAAATATGAGCTGATATCTGTATGGCCACATGGTCCATCTCCAAAATTACTCATATACTCTGTACATCCATTATCTCAGTTTTTTATTGCATATCTTCCTGTTATCTCCCATTGACACATTCTGATCTCAGGTGTATGCATAGCTGTAGTTTACTGATACAGATACAGTGATTGGGATTAGTTCTTTCTAATGGGCCCAACAGAGCTGGTTTCTCCAACCCCCTCCTCTGAGGATGGAGACAGATCCAGTTTCTGAAACATTCTTTAGAATACTGGACAATGGACAAAGACCAAAAACCCATTAACCCTGACAGATATACTGCATCTAACTAATATCAATTACTGACAGTAACAATGTATAAGAAAGCCAATAAACTGTTATGATAGTGACAGTGACGGCTGCGGTGGAAATAGTGAAAACCACTACTAATAGTTCTCAATTGCCCATGTTTCACTACACCTGCTCCATCTATCAGTCAGTCAGGTCATAATAATATGCATATGGAGATGCTCCTAAAAATCTAATAGTCATAAAAATATATTTTATATGGCAGTTCTTACCAGTGTGTTTTAAATTCACCATGTTATTTTCATGTTCCACAGTTAATGCCTTAAGATTTTCATATTGAATTTTCAGGTCATTTGAAAGCAATGCAAACCGAACATGAAGATCACTTCTAAGTTTTTCAACCTGCTCAGCAGTGAGCCGTAACTTATCATAGTGTTCTTGAAGAAGTCCACAAATGTCCAACATATTTTTAACTCTGTAAGAATAAAATGATGGAGACTCACACTCTGCACACTGTGAATCTTTAAATGAATCATTTTCATTATTAACCTTTCAGTTCCGGCTGACGTACATCGCACATCGGCATTTAAGTGCCACATCTCGCCAGGCGACGTGTGTCGTACGTCTTGTGCAGTGCTAAATTTCAGCTCTTATTTTGAACTGTTGCTTTTCATGTAAAGTAATTCTTTTGGTATGAAATCAAAGAGGAAATTTCTATCATTTCATATATTCGTTATCCCACTTTGAACTTCCCGGGGTTTTTTTTTTTTTTCATTTGAAGTCTCTGAAGAAGTTTTGTAGCTCGCCGCATAGGGTGCAATATTGCCATACAAATCTATCTCCACCTCTTGGAGTAGTTAAGAACTAAATATGCTAGGTTGATAGTCTGTGATCTCCCTGCGTGTTGGTCGAAGCAAAATCGATTTCCATTCAGCCAGTGACGAGTGCTGCCTCTTGAACGGAATGAGAAACCACATGTAGAACCTAACGACAAGTAAGATACATGACGTTGACCTCTGATATGACTGCTGTTGGATATGATAAACAAATGTCTTGTTTGCATTCCTTGAGGTTCCCTTTGTTACACAAACAGCTAATGCAGTTTGCATGTAGCAGCGATTGGCAGCAATGGCTGGGACAAGCAAGAGACGTTCAGCTGTGTTGAGTGACAAGGACTTACAGTGTTTGCTTGAAAGTGATTCTGAACAAAGTCTGTCAGATTCGGATTTTGACACTGAAAACAAGTTAGATGATCGGGCCTTGATTGATGCTGTTGGAAATGAGGGCAGCGATGAAGATTACAGTGCAAATCATGAATTCGTTTGGGAGGACATGGAGAACTATAGGGGTCAGAGAGAACATTTCACGGGCAGTGTTGGAGCTCAAGGCCCTGCGAAAGATGTAACGGAAATTGTGGACGTTTTCAAGGTGTTTTTCGACAAGGAACTTATTGAGACCATAGTCGCAAAACAAATAGATACGCAGAGCAGTTTCTACGGGGGCATGAACCATCAGTGAGGTTGCATTCTAAGGCATGGAAGCCTGTGACAGAGGGAGAGATTTATGTTGTCTTGGGTTTGTTCATGCTCATGGGCATCGTACAGAAACCAACTCTTCGGTCATATTTTACAACAAAAAGAGTAATTTCAACACCGGGATTTAGAGACATTATAACGCGAGCCAGACTGGAGCTAATATGTATATATTTGCATTTTGCCAACAATGAAAACATCAGCACTTTTGAAGGACCAAAAAAACTTTTCAAAATTTACCCAGTAATTTTCCATCTGAATAAGAAATTTCAGAACTCTGTCTCCCAAACCGGGACATTTCAGTTGAAGGATCTATGACACTTTGGAAAGGCCGTCTGTCTTTCAAACAGAACCTCCCTCTGAAGGCAGCCAAATTTGGAATTAAAACTTACGAGTTGTGTGACTCCACCACGGGGTATTTATGTTCATTCATCGTATATACAGGCAAGGATACAGAACTTGACTCCCCCTTGATCACAGCAGACAACAACAAAACTTCAGCCATTGTCCTGAAACTGGTAGAACCTCTCCTGAATCAAGGTCAGACTCTGTGGATGGATAATTTTTACAGTTCTCCAACTCTAGCCAGGCTACTGAAGATAATGCACAAGACCGACTGTGTTGGCACTCTGAAATTGAATTGTAAGAATGTGCCTCCAAAAGCGAAAAACACTAAACTAAAAAAAAAAAAAAGGCGAAATCATGGCA